TTGAAAGTCTCTACTCCCGACATGTCTTGGCAGCCACTTTACCACAGAGCCTGGAGAAGGATCTCACCTACGAAGTTCAGGTTTGTAGACATTTCTTGCACTAATCCACGCTGACTATGCTGTTTAGGAGGTTCACACCGAACCTTCAAAACTGTTTGCCTGTCTAATAAGTCTTTGCCACCCTTTCAAATGCAATTTTTACGCTAATTTGCTTTGTTGTGGCAAGTGTGACATCTTTTCTGCCCCACAAGCCACCAGTGTCGCCGTTGACACAAGCTCTTCTGTTTCGTTTTCAATATGGTCACCCTACTGTAGCCTTTTTGGGCCCTTGACTTTTCTTCTCTCGCAAAGGTCTTGAAAGACTCTTCCAGAGACTGGGAGACCCTGGTCACGGACTTGACTTCGCCGTCATGGACCTGGTCTGGCGTTGACCCTCTGTTGCCCTATTCTATCCGTGTGATTGGTCGAAATCAGTTTGGGGCTGGCCAACCCTCGCGCGCCACGCACGTGGATGCCCAAGTTGGTATGTTGACGATGTCTTGCCTTGCTCTCTTGGCGGCTTCCTGCGACGACCTTTAGTTTTTTCTCTTATTACTAGAACTTCCAAATTTTAGGTGTTGTTTTATTGCTTAATGCCTCACAGGATCTGTCATGCGGTCTGGATGAAACACTTACCACGCACTCAATTCGCCATTGGTTATCAGAGCGAGCGGTCAGTCACTGATGGAAGGGAGAACACTCCTTCAGTTTTATCAATCCTCGCAGATGTCCGATTATCGATTAATCTCACTGCCTTACCGCGCTCGCATACCGAGATAGGGGGGCTGACGTCCTGGCTACCCACTCTACTAGTCCGACAGTTCAAGCATCGTTTACTATGAAATACAAGAAACTGGTTGCAGGCAGTGCCTACCAAACATGTAAGGCAGTAAAAGTGGGTCTTAAGAACCAAAGCGAGTCACGTGACGTTGAGAAACATAATAGGTTAAAAGGGGACCAATCAACACCTAGGAATTCTGACCACGTGTCCGTGACCTTGAGCCTTCCTTTGCAACGCACAAGTCACCTCGGCAGGGACAGTTTGCAGTACACTGCTACCGCAGTATTACAACAAGTCTTTTTGTCGCGTTCAAGATTTGAAGGTTAAAATGCTATTGCGTTCCCCACGTGCTCAATGGAAAGCAATTTTTTTCCAATGAAAGCGCCAATCCATTTGCTTTTCATTACTGAATTACTGGGAGTTCTGTGCACCATATGTCCTTCCCACAAATGCCTTCTGTCTTTTACCTACAATCTAAAATTTGGCCTGATTGTAGTGCTACGAGTACAACTACTACTTAGACGCTACACTGATGGTACAGTAACGTGGCATAGGAATTTGCATGGTTTTGCAGTAATTTCTGCAATTATTCCGTTTTCTGTCATACTAACCTTTCCTTCCAGTTATTCCCGACCTCTCCTTCGTGATTCCGGTCGTGCGGGAGCCCAGCGGCATTCTGGAGGGTCGAGAACCGGCCGAATTGCGGTGGCAGTTGCCTCGTGCCTACACTCTTAAAAACACCCTCACCCCCTTTACCTATGAGGTGCAAGTACGTCCAGTGGGAGCCGATTGGAGCGTGCTTGCGTCCGGACTCAAGGTACCCCACTGTCAACTGAATCAGTTGAGGCCTGACCAGGAGTATGCCCTGCGAGTTGTCGCCGTGAC